GGAAACGCCCTGCATGATAATGTAATGTTTTTCCTAGATCCGCTTTTTTTTCTGGACAACAACTGCAACGTGCTCGTTCCATACTTCACTTTTACGCCCACACAAGGACATGCGATTCATTCATTCTAGCGCATCTCGTTTGATAATACTACCTATGACGTAGTGGTTGAACGAACTCAGTTCAACATCTGACTGTTTCGCATCCCCGTTACGGCCCCCAGTACACATATCAGAATTTAACTTAATTTCAGTGAAAATCACATGTAGTGGTGGATTTACTTTCAACCATTATTAGTTATTGAAATATTCCCTATGTTGGTAAATGCTGGCTATTTTTAACGTCTCAACCAATGTTATTACAGCCACTACTGTGGAACAAAAAAACACCGTCCCTACCAAGGTCGGTTGTTTTCCCCCATTTCATTTTAGAATCGTCCACGATTTCCGGTTGTTTTCCTCGCGTATGAATGAACCACACAGCGTGTGCCATTCAGAATTTATTTCCAAAACCATTATAACGTTTCTTGATAGTACAGACCATAAAAAATTTTAGTTTTTTTTCATACAATTTAGTAATTACTATCCACCGCGTTTCATCCGACACAAGGTCGCTCGACGATTGCAGCTACATCAGGCCCAAATACCGGATGTTTTTTCCCCGACAAAAGATGACATTTTTATAATGTCTACATATGGAGCTAAATCCAAGAGACAAATGATGGGAGTGGATTATTAAATAAGGAACCTCACCCAACTCAAATGATGATCATATATGTTTACGCATAGTTACTGGATAATAAGATTACACCTCCACAATACACTACCATCGCAACCACGATCCTCCCGTTTTTCATGCGATTAAACGTATTAACATTTGTTCAGATCCACCCCCTAAACAGATAGTGTTGATAACTCATCAGATTTGTACAGGCAGAATCAAATTAGCCAAACCTCCAGTTTAAATGCCATAAAGAATAAAGCAATACGGCTTTTGTATAAAAAAAACCTGTCGCATCACGCATGATAAAATCAAAAGCAGTTTTCTCGGCTAACTTTGGCGTGTCACTGCGCCGTGTACCGAAAACGAGCCAGCGATTGGCGAGATGCAGCCTGCTATAAAAAGGGAGGTAGTCGCTTCCTGTTCGGTACGGGTCCCATAGCGACGTACGCGACGCGTGTAAAATGTGTATTGTTCTTGAACTTGATTTTATTTGACTGGGTTAACGGTGCTATTAGTTGCTGCACTCCTTACGGTTAGAAACTTTCTATTTCACGTGTCGCGTCATGTTATGTAAACAAAGCGTTTGCATAATAACGACCCAGAGAAAGGTAAGAATGCGCGTCGGTAGACTACAGATTGAGGAAAAAAACAATGGCAAATTATGACAGCGATCGATTGTTCTCTATATCACGTGACAATGATTCAAAAGGTCGAGCTGACCGAAACCGAATGGTACTTCCGTGTTTTTATTTTACGTGACTAGAAATCCACATTTACATCCCTGTTGGCAAATAGGTACGCTATGGGGAGTGATGACGTTGGTTACGATCCGCCGTTACTATGGCAGCATTATCTGATCCGAGCTCCAAACAAGTCTTGTGGGCTTCAATAGATTTTTTTTATAACGAACGTGATTTAAAAATAGTGACCTATTCGTCGATCTATTCGTCCATGGGCTCCTTTTGTATAAACTTTAAACTAGTGCATGCTGTATTGCCGCAAGCTGAATAAAAACATGAAGCGTATAAAAACCACCCGGCCACCTCGTTTCGGTTGCCTTATTAAAGTGCTTTCTATTTCTAAGAGTGTTCTATTTGTTGTGACGTTTAGTTTCGGTTTGGGGAAGGTTGTGCATGCATTTCTGCAAATCGGACAACCCTCTGTCCATGGCAACAGACATGCGCACATGATGCGTCTGTGCCCATTTTCGAACGTGTATGCACTCTGCCAATCAAAGGGGTTGTGTTTAATGATGAAAGAAGTGGGTGTGGGCGGCATCACATCATGTCATGGCTAAATAATTATGTATAATTGCTGTTTGAATTGCATACAATATTGATAAGGAGAAAATGGTTCCACCCACTCTGATTTAAAGAGTAACACAAGATAGGTCTCGATTCCAGGGATAACGAATTCATCAGTGGGCACGTATTACAATTTGCATATGTCTTGATTTTGTCACTGGGCTTAGTTTTACTCATTTATACCTACTTTAATATTTCTGCCAGCAACTTTTTATAATTGCCCCCAGCCAGTCGCCTGCCAGTCATTATTTTATATTTCAAACTGCCTACCCGTACGCATCAAATGCAAAAAGCGATTGTACTCTTATTGATGGAGATTGTTATAGCATTAAACGCCTAACCATTTTTCATTTTTAAACAATTACTGATGACACGACAAACACATTCCTTTGATTTTTATAAATATTTATGCATATCAATGGCAGTTGAATCAAATTAGCGATTCAACGAGCATAGTGCGCAATGACGTCATGTTATATTGTTATTCCACTGGTCAATATTAAACTCCCATTTATGAAATTTATAAATATTTACAAACATCAAGGTTTGTTGTGTCGGCCGTAATAATATTTTTATTTGTTCCTTAATGTAAAAATGTTCGCTATGGCACTTGGTGTTAACATTTGCATGTAGGCGGTATCACGCTCAATTCATGCTGTTTCTATATTTGAACTTTCCATCAACTACTAGTGTATTGTTTTGTTCTTTTATAACAATTGATGATGCCGCCGACGTCTGTACGTTGTGCTCGTTTGGGACTTGCTGGCTTTGTTGAACGTCCTGGTGATTCAGGATCCATTCAATCACTACCCGACCACCGTCAATGACCCGCCCAGTTTTAGTTATATTGCCAGTGCCAGCATGAATTCGGAATCGTTAAACATATATAGCGACAAGGTTATAAACCCTTTTATTTTATCTCGCGATCGTACTCGCTACTTCTCCGCCGACCCACTTTGTCTTTATAAATATTATCTGCAGTCCGGGGGGTCACGGTTAGTAATCGGTGGGGTAGATCCTGGACCTACTTGTAGACTAGATCTACTCCTGGAGGTATATAATATATACCTCCCTAATCTAATACAGCAAAAGTGACATGTTTAAAATTAGCTCGATAAACGTGCTCGGGCGTAATGTCAGACATGACATTTGGTCGCCACGCCAAATAATGAACATGAACTTTGATAATTAAGGGAGCTCTCAAATACGTCATTTATCGACCCGTTCACCCGTGCTCATCCGTGATTGACAAAGGTTTATATGGTTACAGGGTTGAGCTACGAGGCGCCTCAACTTCGATTACACTAATTGCTATTTTAATGAACAATTTAAATGTCAATCGTTCAGTGGATTTGTCATATTTTAAAATGCTATCATCCTTAAAAATAATACGCTAATAATTAGGTAATTTGATAAGTATAATACCGCTGTTGATATACCTCTTCTTGCTTTCCCAGTTGTACGCAAAACTTGGTTGTAGCTTGAAGTTGTTAATTGCCTCCATGATGGCAGCAACCTTATTATTTCCGGGATTAGCCGTGTTAGCAGGCGACCAACGCACAAAATGGCTGCGTCGGGTGTCCATCGTTTCCAGAAAATGGCGACATGGATTTACTCGCGGAAGCGATTTTTAATGAGATTTCAAAGAGTGTTTTTCTCTGTAAATACTAAGATAAGTTTCTTTTTACTCGTATCTCCGTGTCGGCTTTGTGGCGACCAGAAAGCCACAGTCAGTCTTCAATCTCAGTTCTCGCGTGAGCCCGGGAACCCGACAATCACAAGTTTTCGCATATTTGCTGGCGTCATTTAAAGCGGGCAAGTCGTCACCTGCGTAAGTCGTCACCTATAATTATCTATGCACTAAGTCATAAATTGACAGGTTGATTACCTTTGAAACAATTCATTAATTTTTGTAGTAGTATTACAAGCTTTGTCGCCTGGTGTTATTTATTAGATCTAACCTTTTTTACGTATTTTTTGAGTATTTTCTGAATCCACGTCGTACAATATATCCTTGGATAGATTGTATAATATCCTTTTATGTCCTTATTAATATCTCCATTTAGAATCTGGGGATACCTTAGTATGAGTATGGTCTCATTTCTCCAATTAATATCATGGTAAAGCCCGTTTTAAATAGTTGCTTTAGTGACTCACAATCTGTTTATTTTTATTTCAGATAAATGACTTTCTTTCTGGGCGCTCACCTCTAACTCTTGCACTCCGACTTGGCGACCACATGGTGTTTGTGCAGTTACAGTTGGCCTCTGCAGTAGGAACTAAACCATCAGCCAATAAACCTTGCTGCCAGCCAATAAAAACAAAGAGTGCTACTACAACAACTCAAAGCTGCCAATCACAAACTTCCACTTTCAAAGCTCCAGTTCCTCATCCACCACAGGTGAGAAAATAAACACACATTAGCTTTGCTGGCCTAAATTGCTGTTTTTTGAGAATTAAAAAAAAATTAAATTCACACAATCTTGGCACAATATTAAATGAAAATACAAAAATAGACACTAAAAGGCATGTCCAGACTACTGTTAAAAAGGAACCGCTCAATCCCATAGATTGCACCATGTGCTCATGGGTAATTAACTAAGTAAATTAAGTAAATTAATACTTATTATGCTCGCTGTGATTGACAGGTATTTTGTATACATTACCCACCATTTTAAACTCATGATTTTTACTTGTCACGACACGTTTCGACCGAAAACAACAACCTTTATACATCAAAAGCCCAACCAGACGAGCGTACAAATTCATGCCCCCCTGTAGAAATATATTTGGAATCACAGCTTGATCTCTAAACACCGTAAAAAGCACATTTCCCGGAGCTCCCGCCATGATGTGAGCGGCTTGGTTCGGATTAGCTTACTAATTGCGGTGGCCATCTTGTCCCTATTTATAGTGTCGGTTCCCTTTTAATATCTTTTTGTTATGGGTTAATAGTATTCCTTAAACTTTTATTATTAGTAAAATATATTTATCTTGGACACTGTTTTCATCAGTAAACTGTACAGGTATAGGTTTCCTATAATTTAAGCTATGTACCAATCAATAAGACTGAGAGTTAATTGGCAGTGCTCATCAGCTGGGTCAAATTTCTATTTTTGTTTCTAAAAATGTACATACTTTCTAACTAAAGAATTTGTATGGAGACATGGTTATGTCTTCTAGCTAAAAGAGTAGCAAAATCAATATTAATGCTCCTTTGCTGTGGATGGAGGAGTATGCTGGAGAATTTATAAATATTCAGGCAATTATTTTAATAAATTATCTACAAGCCAGGCAGTAGATGAAAGTCTTTGCAGGCTACAAAGCAAAACAAATGAGAAGGTAAAATCACTGACACTTTTAGGAAACTGGAATTAATAAAATTCTGTCAGTAATTTATTGCTCTTGAATGACAGAAAAGGTCAACTTTACTTGCAATTAACTGATTTGAGCACCAGGTCTCTCTCTTTCACTATCTATTTATTATATCAGCCTGTTACAAGAATGCTTGGAATTTACTGCTGCTTTCTTAGGGACCGAGCAATGTTTATTTGGGGGAGGGGTATTGAATAGAACAATTTACCTGTATAATAAATTTTATAATTTATGATGAAATAACTCCATTCTGACCTAATATATAAAACAACCAAATTATTAAAACTTCTATTTGATGGTAAAAATAATGGCAGCCTTTCACAATGACAATTTCCATAAAGTCATATTTCTTCTGTATTTGAATTAAAGAACCTCCGCTGCCATATATGTTTGCCAGACAAATATCTGGAGGTGGCAGCTACCCAGTGACATTACAAATGCCAAAGAGAAACAAATTAGTTGACATTTCTCAAGTTTCAGTAAAAAAAATGTTAGTGCTGGAATTTGAAAGAGCCTTCCCTCTAGCATGCTGTCAAGATATTGTCATGGCAACTGTCATGTACATTTTCTTCATCTGAGACCATTAGTGGCTCATTTTCATCTATCGGTAATATTTAATTTGACAGAAAAAAAATTGTAAAGAACACCTTCAGTGAAATTGACAAGTATTTGTAAATGAGTATTCAAGTTGGACTGAATTCAACACATTTTTACAAATTAATCTGCAATTCCGATGCATAGAATTGGCTTGAAAAGGGCAAGGGGTCACTGAGCCAAGCAGTGCACGGGATTGCAATAAATTGAGTTGAAGTTTTTAACTGTGATGAACTGCAGTGTGTAAATGTCAAACTCCCCTTTTAACTTCATTCATATCTAGTGAAGATCAGAGCAATACTATATGACATAGCTTTAAAGAGACTAATGAATTTTATTTTACTGAGGTTTGTTATAAAAATAAACTCAGTTAATTAATATCTGCCCTCCCCCACATACTTGCACACACCCCAAAAAAGGAACAACCCAAAAAAGTCTAGGAAGACAATGTATAATTGCCCCCACTGCCCGGATAACAAGCTGTCTTTGGGAGAAGAAATTAAGACTAATAGAGGGACTGTTCTTTGGAAGTGATGGGTGATTGTTTTGGGGAAGGGTGGATGGCTTTTAGGAGGTCGGGGTAATAAGATGAGGGTTGATTGCAATAGGGGTTGTTTGAAGAGGTGAATGGCTGTTTAGGTAATGGGTTTGTTGCTGTTTAGGGGAGGGTAGGCCTTGTTAATGGTTGTTGTAGTGCAAAAAAAGATTCAAAATTTTATTTATTTATGACTGGATGAGTGTGGATAAAAGCTAATTAAAGACATCCACAGATAATATGCTCTGTGGAAAAACAGGATATTTTGTATTTCATTCTATAAAGGGTGCTGTCTGATTTCCCTGAGGCAACGTCTATTGCTTATACAGTAATAACCTTCTCACAATCAAAGGTTTCTCATTTAAAATACAGTTGCTAGTCAGACAATTTGCCGATCAGCATGCTGTTTTCTGGTATTATTACTCTGAACACATTGATTGATTTACTTTTAATTTTTGCAGATAAGTCAAACTTGCGTGTAAATGCATGTACATGTAAAACATGTAAAATTACAACTACAACTAAATTACGACCAATTCCTTCATAGGAATATTCTGAGAATTGAAACACAGTGAATATTTGACTCATTTTTGACTCGCCAAATGATAAAAAAAATCGCAACTGGCTCATTGTCTCAGTATACCAGTATTTCATGTAAGGCGCACATTTCCTGTTTGAATAATTACTAGCAATATGTTTGAGACAATGCAAAAATACATATAAGATTTGACCAATCAGAGAGCAGCTTATTTGTTGACAGGACATGCTTTGACTCAACTGACATGTTTTGCTTAAAGCTATTGGTCAGATTGCATATGAATCTCTGTGGAATCTTTATGGAGTAAAACTACAAACAACAGTGAGCATATCATTGGCATCCTTAACCTTTTAATAATTTTTTTTTTATATTTTCAAAAATTTTACTTGTGACTCAAATTCCAAAAATTATTTTAATGGTTTACAACTGTTTATTAATTAATCACTAATTATATTTAGTATTTATTATTTATGGTTTCAGATCAATTTTTTATTCTTTTTTAAACATTCAATTTATTGAAGACAAATTTAACAATGGTTTATCGCCAAATGTTTTCAAATCAAATCCTATTTTAATTGCTTATTCTGATGCCCATTCCCCCTTATCTTGTCTTCTCACTGAAAAATAGAATATCAATTTCAGTTCTCAAATGTCACTATTTTGTTCACATGTAGGGACAACAACATTGCTGTCACCATGGTAATGCATCTACCTCAACCTCTCCAGTCATTACTCCTTCGTCGTCGTCATCATCATCTCAAATAGGCTCACAACCATCGACATCATCGTCACATTCCTGTAAAACTCAACCCCGTCCATCATCGTCGTGTTCAGCTGGTGCAATTATAGAGAGTGTCAAACAGCATGCACCAGGTATTTTCTCTGGCACCTTTTCTGGTGAGTATTAAACCTACTGCTTTTATTAATTAATATAATAAATAATTTTTAAAAATTCCAAGGACGACATGCTCAAAGTGTCACTCGGCACTTTAGCATGTTGAAGGATTGAATTAACATTGCAATCTCAACAGACATTTCATGAAATAGAAGACTGCAGTTTCCTGTTCATGTTCCCTGGTGAATTTTATAGAGCAAAATTAAACCTGTATATTTTTTTTAAAATTTTAAATAGACCAATGGAAATCAGTTAGAATTATCAAAAAATGAGAAAAATTATGGTTTTCGAAGGGTTGATATCTATTGATATCTGTTAATGAACACAATAATTTGCATACACATATAATTGTGATATTGAGGGGGAGGGAAGTTGCAGAAATATGTTATGTAACAACCGATCTCCGCAACTTTGACTCAAGTTAAAAAATACTTGATGTAGTTACCAGTGCTCCAATTATAACAAGTACACATAAACCAAAAGTTGAATTTATTGTATACTGGATTATTAAATTATTACTTATTTGAGCCACAGATACATCTGTTTGTGATTTCAAAATTTTATGGCATTCATATAGTCGTGTTGTAGTTCCCCAGAGAAATGTTTAATGCTACAAAATGCTACACGATGTTCACTGACTCATGAAAACTTGTCTTGTAATTATTAATGTGGTTGACAAAAAACAAAAAATTACATTATAATGAAAAAATGGACAGCCGTTTTAGAATTTGAAAAAAAAGTTGATAAGAAACTGTTTTTTTACTGGGCCTTTTACTACTAGCCCAGAATGTATACATTTACAGTATTTTTCTGAATTTTCTTCAGGTTCTCTGAGTCCTTCTGTGCAGGACAAAGATGGGAAACCACGTCGTGATATTACTACTATCATGCATATACTGACTGATTTACTGGCAGCTGCACCAGTCTACAAACAACATGCTCATCAAATAGCACTACAAAAACAACAGAAACAGCAACAGCAACAACAGACGTGGAAACAGCAGCAACAGCACCTGCAACAACAGCAACAAAAAATGAGAGCACCAAGGCTGCATCCTGTACAGCAGCCCACTAGAAGCTCACCAACAGAGCACCATTTCCACCATAGAAGAGGTAAAACTATGGGTAGGTTTCAATTACTGTTGTTTGACCTCTTCAAAATGCTGACTTTCCCAGGTGCCAAATAATTTTTTCCCAGGTCCCAAATAATTTTGATATGTGTTATCTTATTTACAGTCAAATATAATCAAAATGTGTCTGAACTTGTAATCGTATCTAATGTTAGAATAACAGGGCTCACTGCTTGTTTTTGGTGCAATTAAAGTTACACAAAAGCTTTTTTTATCACATTTGCAGCTATTTGTGATGCAATCTAGTAGAGCAAGTTTTGTATCTCTGGGTATCTTTCTTTTCGAAAGAAGATCTTTTTAAGTTCATTTTGTTTAATCTTTCAGATGAGAAAATGAGGTTGCATCAAGAGAACAGCCACACTCGTAGCAAAATGGAACAGCTACAAACAATGATGCGCGCACGCCAAATGAGAAGAAAAGCCCGCCGTGAAATGAGATCACCTTGGGCTGACATGCGGGGATGTGTCCAGGCCGACTGTACTGACATGAGCAGTAGTAACGTTTCTGTTGACAACACTATAGAAAAAACAATGACAGAGAACTGTTATGCAGATCTCAAACCAGGATATATCCTAGCGTGAGGGGATACTGATAAAAGGCGGGAGACACACCGCCACCCCTTTTAATTTACGTAAGGCATGGTTTGTAGTGAAAAAAAACCCAGCCAGCCAGTCAGTATGGATAGATGATTATCCAATAGCAACAAATGTTGGAGATGCTTTCAAGGAAGTCTTGAATTAACAAGAGTTTTGATTGGCCACAGAAGCACAAAATCTATTGTGAGTGCCAATCACAGAACAGTATTTATCCTGGAGCATATAAACAATGCAGTCAGAGATATTTAAAGGAAAAAAGAATTGTGAAATGTAATATTTGAATTGTTTGTTACACTTATAATTAACAACTAATGATAACAACAATTAATGTGTGCTTTTAGGAAATGTTCAGGAATGAGGTGATAATACAGTCAGGAATAAGGTAACTGCAGCAGAGATTTTCTGGGTATGAATCTCATTAGTCTGAAAAAAAACC